CAACGAGAACGACGTCATCTCCAGTCGCAAAATATTCCCGGCTTACGTCATATTAGAAAGATTTTTTTTTTGACTCGCATTGAGCCAGGCCAGCTCTGCTGTATAGCGTGCAGTTGACGAGATAAAAGTGCGGTAAGGCACTATGATTGAATCGGAGTTTAATAGCCAGGCTACGTCTGCTGTATAGAGTACAGTTCACAAGATAGAGTGCAGTAAGGCGCTATGATTGAATCGGAGTATAATAGGACGGGTCAGAACGTATCATGATGTATTTGCACCTTTGGCTGGTAGTAATGTGTTCCTCGCATTGAGCCAGGCCAGCTCTGCTGTATAGCGTGCAGTTGACGAGATAAAAGTGCGGTAAGGCACTATGATTGATTCGGAGTTTAATAGCCAGGCCACCTCTGCTGTATAGAGTACAGTTCACAAGATAGAGTGCGGTAAGGCGCTATGATTGAATCGGAGTATAATAGGATGGATCAGAACGTATCATGATGTATTTGCACCTTTGGCTGGTAGTAATGTGTTCCTTTGAGCTTCACTAGCGAGAGCGCTACAACGAGAACGACGGCATCTCCAGTCACCACATATTCCCGGCTTACGTCATAATAATTTTGTCCTAAACTTTGGAGACTGGAAACGTTTACCTGCTGATTGCTGGGTGCGCTACCTGCTGATATCTATAAATATCCCTGGCAGGCATTTCCATTGATGCTTTTCCTGCGCTAGCGAGGGTACTACAAAGACCTAAATATTACGTGAAGCAAAAAACTGCCATTGCTAATCTTTACGTGTTTGGAGATGTTGTTGAACCGGCATGAAGAAACAAAGTCGATGTGCAGCTCTGAAACTAAACCACCAACGCAAGCCCTTTAGTAAACAACTAATAACTATCATAGTTACGTAACTAAGGAACAACAGCAACGACTGTAATGCAAACAGTTTTAGTTAAGAAGTGTAACTTACTTCAGCACTAACGGGATGCGCGGAAGGCAGAAATGGTGCAGCGCGAAACCACGAGCGAACGATGTTCCTACAAACACGCAATTTGCACTACCCATCCACTGGCGTTTGGACGAAAACATCGGGATGGAAGCCGATTTTGAGCGTATGCCACGGAAAGATGCTTGTGTAGGCGGACGTGGACATAAGTCGCCCCATACTGCTACCACCGTTTACTGCTGGTGTTGCTTCTGCTAGCAGTGCTACTGCCGAGAAAGTGGGAGTGCTGCTAGTACAGCTGGTGCCGCGGCTTTTATACAGGTGTATATTTGTTATTAATGTATCGGCATACCGGGAATACTTCTACGGAGAGTTGTATTTGTTCAAGTATTCTACTCGACATCCTACACATGCGCTGGATGTGTACATAATTATTTGCAGCTAACGTGAAAACGTTGTACAGTGCGTATCGGTTATAGTGTGGTTGTGCTAAAGAATATACATGTAGGGCCTAAAAGAATGAACTATCATAATTACATCCATAATCATCAGTGGGTTTCAAGCGAAAATTCTTTTGTGTTTACAAGCAATATCACCGCGTTATAGACTAATACTATCGGTGCAAAGATAGTAAGAATGAACTTCGTGTACTTACACTTACCGGATAGGTGTATTCCAATGTAGTAGCAGTAATGCTCTGACACCCATTGCACTGAACTAATGTGGTTATGTAACTCATGGTGCAAAGCCAAAGGGTGGGCCTATGCGATTATGAACAGCTGCATGCACAGAAGCACTACGTTGCATGTACGATCGCCTTTCTGCGCCTGCAAACATGATGATGATATACCACACTTGATTTATCCCTCAGGGTCGCAACTTCAAACCGGCCAGACCCCCTTTCGAGGGAAAGCACCCCTACAAAGCACGTCACAGAATCCTCGACAAACCGTGCGGTCAACACAGGCCTACTGATCACGAGCGCAGCAGGGAACCATCGAGAGCCCAGAAACTGGCATTATTGGTATTGTATTTTCATTGAGGCCCGAGTACTGGCTGTGGAGGCACGGTTCGGCAGAAGAGAGATTAAAATCTTGAGGTTTCTCTACAAAGTTGTACACACAATGCTGTACACACGTACACACAATGTTGTACACACAATTAGTGTTGTATACACCGTTCATACACATTTCCTTCGCGTTGTCTGCTGAGCTTTTTCATAATACGCGCTCTGTTCTATTTTTTGTTTGTATTTTACATCGCAAGTCAAGCGGCCAACCATGCCCAATGTGATGATATTGATGAAGCCCCAACGACATGATGATTTAGCAGTTCCACAGTGCGGGTGCTAGCGCCTTCAATTGCCATCCGCATGAGAACTTGAACTCTGGACGGTTCTCCTGAATCTCCCGAAATAAGTTGCTGTGTTTGGAAATTTTTCCAGTAATCCCTGTACTTACCCATGATGAGAAGGGAACGACAACCTTCGGTTATTAAAGTTGCTTCACTTGACTGTGTCAATTGCGTTAGCGCTGACAATTTTTCCTTCGAAATTATTATTATTATTATTAATATAATTAAAACAGAAGAAGCAGCGACAACCCGGCCATTATGGAATCCAATACACCACACCACCACATTGCGCTATTGGCTGATCGTATACCAGAATTGAACTCGCTGTGGTGATGGTGATGTGAGTGCAGAGTTTTGATCGTGGTAGAGTGGTGTATTGGATTCCAAAATTAAAACAACTACATGTACTAGGCCTCGACCAAATATGCTTGCGCATATTTCCGCATATTTTGTGAGACATTTCATATATGGCATATTGAGCGACAAAGGGAATATTGAAATAAAGCCAGCATAATTATAATTCAAATATTCTGAAGAAAATGAGGACAAAACATTCATATTATGGACAAAATGCGTTCAGAAATGCCTTTTGTGGATGAATTTGGAATGGTTGAGGCGTTTGCTACATTTCCCCATGGATGAACACTATCGCTATGGTTCCTGGGGACACACCCCAGCCATACCATTCTGCATGTGTTTTGATTTGCACCATCAGCATGATAGCCGTGAAGCCAATGAATATTCCAAGGTTGTAATTTTACTGAAATGATCTACACTTTCTGATTATGTCGAGCAAATTTTGGCATATCTATCTTTTGCATGTTTTCTGATGATCGCTTAGTGCGTGAAACTCGGAATAAAAAAATTCTCCGTCCTCTAATTGTTTGTATCTTTTGCATATCTTGCAAAGCCGTTGGCATTATTATGGCCGTTTTCCCTGATATGTGACGAGCATAATATTCTCTTTTTTAGCATATTTTGTCGGGGCCTAACATGTACCTCTGCTGAAGTACCAAAAAAATTTAAAAGAACACGTAAAGCATACATGTAAAGTAAAGGGAGCGTGCACGAAATTCGTATACAGCAATCATTGTGCATACAACTTTGTACAGCCACAGCAAGATTTAGCAATTCCACTGTGAGGGTGCTAGCGCCTCCAATGGCCATCCCAAAGAGAAATTGATCTCTGGATGACTCTCCCGAATCTCGATGAACTCTCTAATCTTTATTCTACCCATCAGTGTCTCCACAGCCACTATTCGTACCTTAAGGAAGTGCATCGATTTTTCAAGTAGGGCTCAGATGAAAGACAATTTGATATCGGTTCCGATGGTATATCTCTCGCCTCCGTGCGATATTGCAGACTTGCCATATCGCTGATTTTCTGATTGCGTTTCCATGGCGACTACAGGTTCAATGCTGTTAGTGCCGTGAATTGTTTATTAGAAGTCTTCTCCGTTGTGTACTGGGTCGTGTCACCAGCAGGGGAACGCTGGAGTGCGGAGACGCTAGCTGGCAAGCGAAAATCGTGACGAACGAAGTGCTGAAATTTTGGTTGGGACAAATCAAACGTTCAGCATTTACCTGAACCAAGGACCATGCCGTTTGCTCTTTCCACTTCCTGAGGATGGATGCGCTGCCTGCTGGAGACTCTCCTTACTCGCGTAACATCTTCTGAATCCATGTGAGACGACGGGTAGTGGAGATTAGCGAACGAAATAATTTGTATGTTTTCTTATTTTGCTGAATATTTGAGACATGGCATGTATGAACGTATGCTATGTGAACTCAATCAGCAAGCTAACCCATGAACAAATGCTCTCCGTAGAGGTCATTCCATACCCTCTCCAGAATGGCCTATTTATATATTTGTCCAAATACTTCATCTGCATGTTGTCACTATGGAGAAGGGTATTGTTCATTTCATATGAAGAAGTTCAGGCAATAGATGCTTTCCTCTGGTTCAATTCTGTTGGCCTGATGTTCTTTCTAGCTTCATGGGTAGCTCAGGTGAGGTACCATCACCATCCTGTTTACATGAGGGTCATTCAAACACTGCACCGTTCCTTATTGTGACATGACCTAAGTTATTGGAAGTGCTCGCAGACTCCATATGTTTCAGCAACAGCCGGCATAGTTTTCCGTGAACATCGTGGACGAACAAATTCCTGTCCAACATGTTTATACAGACATGCCTGCACACACCATGCACCATACACACACACTTGCCCTGGCCTGTCGAGTCACTTTCACAAGGGCCACGTGGGAGCAGTGGAGACAGAATGGGAGAACGCCGTCCCACGGCGCCCGGGACACAAAAACAAGAGTTTGTCTACGTAGGGGGCAACACACATATACCCACACACACACAATGAGAGTTTGGGTCATCTGCCACGAGACCAACGTATGGCCTGGGAGGGCTTGAGCGGCAGTGTCCATTCCTGCCCTGGACCAAACCGAAGCAGCGGTCCCAAGACACAGTGTCCACCACAACACGGCTCCACTGTCGATGGGGGCTGAGCCACACACTTGTGACGGGCAAGAACTCACCAGCTAAAGAAACCAACGGCCAGGGCGATCGCACTGCCATGCTTCACGCTGATCCTTAGCAGGCTTAGCACCCTCTCTCTCTCTCTCTCTCTCTCACACACTTCCACACACCTTTGGACCTTTGGAAAGCCCATCGCCGAAGGCGATGATAGCTATTAGGCAAGGTAGTAGTTCTTGTTTCGGGATAAATCATTAGGACCGCGAAAGTCGCGGCCGCAGAAACAGACGAACACTCTTGGTTGGGGCTGGCTTAGTGGCTTCCGACGGCTACGCTCGCCCCAGTCCCTCCGGTTCTGAGCAAGGTGGTACCATTGCGCCTCCGGGATACCGGTCGCACGCAGGTCTGAAGCTGCCACATCTCTCCAACGACGCTTGGGTCCATGGCGGGGCCGCTTGTTAGTGCCCTCCGCAAACAGGATCTGCTTTGGCAACCTTGTGTCGTCCATCCTTGCGAGGTGACCAAGCCATCGCAGGTGATTCGCACGAATGGCCTCCTCCAGCGAGGCTGGCATGCCGCCGGGCTTCGCCAGGTCTTCACTTGACAGGTGTTCCTGCCACTGCTGGTCTCGGGTAACACTCAGGATCGTGCGAACACACTGTCGATGGGACGTGTCCAACCTGCGCAGGAGGGGTGCCTTCAGCGTCCATGTCTCAGAACCATACAGCAGCACTATAAGAACCAAGGCCTGGTAGACCTGGCGCCGGATTCCAAGCGATAGACCCGAGAGAGCAGCTCGCCCAGGATCGCCCTCAGTGGCAGGACCTGGTGAAGGTTGTATGTAGCCGCTAATGCAACAATGGACATAACTTAGCGTTTCCATCTTGTCTTTTTTGTGATTGTGATGCTTGATGTGCACTGTGCTTCCTCGCATTCACTTGCTCCTTCTTGCAGCTTGTCTCTTTTTTCTGTTTTTTGTTTTTTGTTTGTTTTTTGTTTTGTTTTGACGCTCTGTGTGCATTGCGCTTCCTCGCGCTCACTTGCTCCTTCTTGCGGCTTAAGCGAAGGCTATATGTGAGCTTTATAAGCTCACTGATGCTAACGCGAATAGAGCATAATAATAATAATAATAAGACCCGAGTTCCGGAAAATTGGTTGGAGGAGGCTACCAAACGCCCTCGATGCCTTGGCAAGACAAGTCGTGACTTCGGCAACCAGCTCTCCATCGTCGCTGATCGTACTGCCTAGGTAGGTAAAATCGCTGACCACGCCGATCACGTCACCAGCACTGCCAGGCATCACAATATCAGCACGGATGACACTCGGACCGACCGCCAAGAACTTCGTCTTCTGCACACTAACAGTCAGGCCCCAGCCTGACGCATACTGCGTAAATTCCTTCACCATCGTCTCCATGTGCTCGTACGAAGTGGTATACAGGGCAGCATCATCCGCAAATAGCGACTCCAACACGGATAAGTCTGTGAGTCTGTGCTTGGCAGTACGGTCGCCAACCAACTTGCGGCCGATACGATGTTTCATCGGGAAACTAGGCACTGTGGATGTTGAGCGCCAGTGTGCAAGGACGGCAGAGAAGTAGAGGTTGAACAACATCGGAGCCAGGGTGCAACCCTGGTGTAGACCATTCTCCACCCCAGAGCTGTCAGACTGACCACTACCCACGCGAACAGACGCCATCATACCCTCGTGAAGAGACCGGATCACCTGAAGCATGCTCGGAGGCACACCGAGTTTCTGCAGGACGAGCCAAAGCGCTGTTCGGGGGACCGAGTCGTACGCCTTGCGTAGATCCACAAACAAGACGTACAGATCAGATTGATGTTCGATGGCTTTCTCGAGTACTTGGCGAGCAGCAAAGATCATATCGATGCAGCCCTACCCTTCCGAAAACCGCCCTGAGACTCTGGTAGCCAGTCTTCAGCGAGTGGCTCAAGCCGGTCCTGGAGCATGCGAGCAAACAGTTTGCCCACAACATCGAGCAAGCTAAACACACACACACACACACACACACACACACACACACACACACAAACACACTTGCGCACAAACTGCAAGAAAGAAAGAGAGCATGAGTGTCAGGTTGAACCGTTCTTGCAAAGGACGTGTTTATCAGCAAACACTTATACGTTCACATGCAGGCACGCAACGACCAATTATGCACCATGACGTATGTTTGTCAAACATAAGATTGCAATACCGAAGAACGTAAATAAAATCACTTACTTTGTTCTCCTCCAACTGTGTCCTTCATAGCCAGGCCGTCTCCTGAATTCCCGTAGGCGGAATGTAGCCTGCTAAATGGTTTCTCTAGACTAGGGGAAGATGCTTGGTATTCGCCATCTCTCCTGAGAAATGTTCAGCAAAATTTCAAAAACGACATTATTTCGTTCGCTAATCTCCGCTACCCGTCGTCTCACGTGGCTTCAGAAGATGTAACGCGAAATAGGAGAGTCTCCAGTAGGCAGCGCAACCATCCTCAGGAAGTGGAAAGAGCTAACGGCATGGTCCTTGGTTGAGGTAAATGCTGAAAGTTTGATTTGTCCCAACCCGACATTCAACACCAAGGCCTACCATCAACTCCCCAAGAAGAATTGGCTATGGGCCACTGACGTCCACCAGCACTGCGAATAACCGGTTGTCTGTTATTATTATTATTATTATTATTATTATCATTTTCTGTTCCTCTTTCTCTCACTCACTCTGCCTCTCCTGGGAAGCTCCTCATGCTCATTCTCCCCTTCTCTGTCCATTTCCCCTTCCTGATGCGTAGACCAACTGATGAACCCGAGACCACTAGTTCGGAGGAGGTTAACCTACCTCATCGGCACGCATGCCAGGCTCCTCTGTGTTGCCAATGTTAGCTTCTCCAATTTTGTCTACCTCCCCTTTTATGTTGCTGGCCAGTGCTTTGTAGTAAAAAAAAGATTTCAGCACTTGGTTCGTCACGATTTTCGCTTGCCAGCTAACGTCTCCGCACACCAGCTTTCCCCTGTCGGTGTCATGTTCCAGTACACAACGGAGAGGACAACTAATAAACAATTCACGGCACTAACAGCATTAAACACAGCACTTCAAGGTTATCCGTGGCACTCAGGACATTGTATTTTTGTGTGGATGGTGGGCTACGACAGGTGCTGGCTGCTGTGGGGGGAACCTTTAAGGAGGAGGACTCAGCCAGCAGGACCGCATGGTCTGATCCGCCAAGAGGAGCCAGGTGTTGAATGTGGTTGAGTTGGTTAGGAATGTTGCTCGCGATAAGGTCTAGACAACTGCCAAGTCCATTCGAGCGGAGGTGGGTGGGAAAGGTTACCGATTGGGTCAAATTATAGCATGAGAAGAGGTTGTCAAGACTCAGACCCTGTGCATCCGTTTGGTCAGTTGAGCACCAGTCGGAATACCTACAGTTGAAGTCGCCTGATATCACAAGGGCTTCGGGCTTCTTTTGAGTTGATTGCAGGGCTATTTGGAGGCGGTCGAGAAAAGTCGATAAGTCATCCGTCGACGGGGAAGAAGCACGATAGATACAGGCTACTGTTAGGTTGGTTGTTGGTAGGTCAGAAGGTGAGATAAGCTTATGTTCAGCGAGTGTAAGGTGAAGTGCTAGCGCTCCCAAGCCCGGTTGCTGAAAATCCGGTAGCTGATCAATGGAAGTACACAGACCTTCACGAACTAAGATTCGAACTCCTCCGTACCCCCCCCCCCCCCTGTGTGGGTCACGGTTCTGTCTATTTTCTAAAACAGGTCGGTCTCGACAGAGGCATTCATAGTGTGGCACGTGGAAAGCTTGTGTGGGAGTTAGCAAGGTATCTGTGATGCATACTACGCTGGGTGTGTGATCCTCACAGGTTTGAAAGAGTTCGCCAGACTTGTTTGCTATGGAGCGAGCATTAAGGACACAGATTGTAAGTCGGTGAGTAGCAGCATGTACAGAATGGGGGAAGAAAGGTGGGGCAAGAGCGTTGAGAGGCGCAGGGGATGAAGTGGAAGAGGAGGGAGAGAGGTTACGCATTGGAAGCTGGCTTCGTCACTTTGGGGCTGCCCGCAAAACGCCACTTGCGTACTGAGTGTCTGATGGCTTCGGGCCAGAAGGTTCTGTCTAGTACACGCTCTTCATGTTCTGCAGCTACAGTGACTCCGGCATACGATGTGCCAAGGTATTTCGACTCCATGACGGAGCAATTTAATACCTTTACGTCCCTCGCTTCGCACCAGTCTCTGATGGAGTGAGCGTTGCAACCGCTGTAGATGCTTCCAACGTAGAGCACAAGTTTGTTGATGGGCACCACCCCTGTCAGGACGCACGGATCAGCAGGTTCTGTGTTAGGTGATTCCTTCACGTACCTAGAGGTTAAAGTAGCCCGCAGTGCTTTGGAAACGCTGTCCGTGATTTTGTCCTGCCGTCCTTTTCGTCTATGGTTCACCTCTTTCCACGTGTTCTGTGTTGGCTCTGTACTTCATATGCCAGTGACCCCTGCTTCACAGCATTGTGTGTCGGCTGTGTGGAGTGTACAACTACATGTATCACTGGTGCATTGTTTGTTTGTTTGTATTTATTTTGATTCGCAAATTCAAACGGGCATAGAACCCAAAAACATGAAAGCGAATATGAAAATCATAATGAGAATGAGAATTCAAATACTTTGATCTTCGACGTAGAGTCAGCGGTACATCAGAGGGAGATCGTGTACAACAGAAAGAGAACAGAAAAAACAGATTTCGCTTGTCGACATCTACAGGGCATAGGTATAGGGGAGTACCTGCGTGCGAAACTGACGAGCGTGATGGATGACACGGATGTCGCTGGGGAGGGCATTCTATAATACAGCACCCTTGCACGCAAAGCGCCCCCCGCCCCGCAACCGAATGGGAAACTGCCACGCACAGGCCCATGGCAGATTGGAGCCGAGTAGGGACGGGTGCAGCGGGGGTTAGCAGGGCTTGCAACTCTGGACTTGCCAGTGCATAACGACAACTCCACATCAGGTATGCTAGCTTCTGATTGAAGACTTTTGCAACACAGAACACTGCAATGCGCCCCAGCAGGTCGTGGGCAGACGACCACGGAGGGCGGCCAAAGACAGCACGAGCCCCGCTGTTCTGCAGGACCTGTAGACGGTAGAGGTACCTTCTTTGCAGGGACCTAGAGTACGTGTTTGAGGCATACAGCAGGTCAGACATGATCAGCGATCTAAAGTAGGTCATGCGTGACTGGTGATTCAGGCAGCGGCGCATTCGCCTGAGTGCTCCGATCTTCTGCGACACGCGTGCAGAACATTTGGCAATGTGGGCTTGCCAGGACATGCCGGAATCGATTGTGGCGCCAAGATAACGAGCACTTGGCACACTATGCAGTGAAGTGTCATGGCAGACGACCTGTAGATCCGCTGTGTGCTGACGGCCGGCAGGAATTGGCACGACTGGGCTCTTGCCAGCATTGAGGATCAGGCCTCGATCCTTCAGCCAGTCTGCAAGGATTGAAACAGAAGCAGATAAAACATCGGATACCTCCTGTGCTGTTCACCCAGGCTGCACGCGAGCGCAATGTCGTCCGCGAACTGTGCATGCAGCACACATTTGGCTTTGTTGGGCAGGCTGGGTCTGGGCGCTACTTGGACTTGTACCTTGTGGTGTTGCAGCATGATGGGTGCGTACGCTATTACTGTAGGACTTCGCAACTGGAGGTCCCGTACCCACGTTTTGTTGGGACGTGTACGTGGGTACAGTGTGTGGTGAGGGGTCAGGGATGGAAGACTTCTGTTGACGAAGCTCTACTACTTCACGCCTCAGCTCTTGGATTTCCAATTTCAGGGCCAACATTGTGCTGTCTCTATCTTCCCTCGACATAACAATCTCCTTGGACAAGGTTGAAACACATGATACAAGGCTAGACAATTGTTCCAACGTACCGTTTGGACCTGCTGGCTGCGGCAGCACTCCCACGCCAATCTTCCGGAGTTCTTTGACGACTTCCGGGCGAGAAAGGTTTGAGGGTTGGTCTACTGATTTCCGCTCGCCCAGGTCAATTAGGTCCTTGAATCCCACCAGGGCTAGGTCTGGATTCTCATCCAGTGACATCGTAAGGTACACAAAGGTTTGGTCACTGCTTAAGGGATGCTGTACGAGTGCCGCTGAGGCTGATCTTCAGAGCACGAAAACCGCCAACCGTCCCCCAAACATGCATGTCTATTATTATTACTATTCTATTCCACGATGGCGTGACGCCAATAAGGATGATTGATAAGTGCGATAGAACTGGTACTAGCCAGAAACAGCTAGATGGAAACGGGGAGGCAAGAAGCAATGGATCATGAACAACAAGCGGGGGCAATAACGTTAGCAGGGGTGAGGGGTGATGGAGATAGTTTTAAAGTACACGTTCGAGATATCAGAAACCAGGGGGAAACCAGGGGGAAACCAGGGGGAAACCAGGGGGAAACCAGGGGGAAACCAGGGGGAACCAGGGGGAAACCAGGGGGAAACCAGGAGGAAACCAGGGGGATGCGCGGAGCAGGAACAGGTAGTGCTCAAACGAAGACTGGATGCATTGTTTCGGAAAGAATTTCTACGAGGTTGGGTTGTGATGTCGATAGGGAGTGAGTTGTAGAGGGTGAAGGGCACTGTTGATTGGAGAATCTCGGTGCCTGTTTGTGTGTGCGTGTCCAATGGAGTAGGTCCTTGTCTGTCAAAGGGTGTATGGTTGGTATTGACGTTTTGGTGCAAGATGTGGTTGTTGCAGGTGTGGTGGGGGGGGGGGGGGGTTGGTGGTGGATGTCCCATGCTAGTAGGACTTGTTTAACAAGGAGTCGTGACCTAAGGGTGGGGAGCTTTGCATGATAGAGGAGGGGACTGTGGTGAACTGGTGC